CGTCTCTCCTTTTTCGCGGCGCAATTATATTTTTTTATTTTATTTTAAATATTTATAATTTTATTAAACATGATGGAAAAAAATTGAAGAATGTTTGGAATCTGTGAAAAAAATTATGTACACATATATGCCACAGGGGTGCGTTATTAATGATTAATTATTCGTGAAGGAATTTTATACTAAAATTTAATAGACACATGTATGTCATAAAATGTCATATAATATTTTTAATAAATTTATAATATTTTTTAAGAGGCTAGAATTTATTCTTAAAATGCGAATTTTTCTCCATTTATCCGCATTTCTCTCTTATCGTGTTTCTAATTGATCGCAGTTTGTGTGGGCAGAGTTTATATCTCTCTTTTTAAATCGGATTATTTGTGAAGAGTAGGATGACACTTTGCACTTTGGAATAAAAACGAAATATATATTACAAATATTTTTTGTTTGTGACTATCGTGTATAAATATATTTTCAACTCTTCAGCAAATTTATTGAAAAAATTATTTCATCTTTTTTTCAATAATTATATTTATTTAAAATATATTTGTAATTATTAAACACGATAGAAAAAATTGGAATCTCGGGAGAAATTATGTACACATGTATGTATGGCCAGTGTGTATTAAAATTAATGAAGGAATTGAAAGAATTTCATTCACTAAAATCTAACAGACACATGTATATCATATAATTTTTTTAATAATGAATTTGTAATATTTATGAAGAAGCTAGAATTTTTATTCTTAAAATGCGTATATTTTTCTCCAACATCCACATCTCTTATCGCGCTTCTAATTGATCGCAGTTTTATGTAAACAGAGTTTATATCCGCTATATCGGATTTGTGGAGAGAGAGTACGATGGCACTTTGTACTTGGGCGTAAAAACGAAAAGTGTTTATCTTGTATAAAATTTTCGCCGGCTCTTTACTACAAGCTTGCCAGTTCGCGGCCAACTTTGTATTAACTTGGTGCTTACATTCCATAATAATTAATAAGAGACAGACATAAATAAGAAAACTTTCCGGATGTACCGTGCAAAACTTTCGAAAGCTCACCTTGCGGGAAGCCGTTTTTATTATCTTCTCGCATGGCACGATATTACAAAGTTCCGAGGAGAGGTCCTTATTGTACGTCGCGCGATAAAAATATATATATATATATGAAGAGAGAGAGAAACGACGGTTGTGAAACACGACCGGCAAGTTCATACCTTGATGCTACGAGACAAGAATAATCCCCCGTGTGTTTATTTAACTGACAACTCTCCGACGAAGAGATGCGATATTTTTATTCGTGGCGTCAGAAAGATGCTGAAGATGTCCGCGTGAGATATTAACTTCCCCTCGTTTATTCGCGACACGAAGGTGCGAACTTGCTTCGTCGAAGGTTAAAAGATAAGGGAAAGAAGAGGGGTGTTTCCGAAAAACACACTTGTCCCGAGCGTTGACGATTATGTCGCGTCGAGGTTATTGACCAGGAAGTCGGCTTCTCGTCAGAAGGAGGTGGGTGCTGGAGGGTGGAAAGGCGGTGTCGACGACGGTGGTTCGAAACCGAAGGGTGAGAAGGAGGAGGAAGAACGAGGGCGAGGAGGTAGCAAACCGAGTTCGCCCGCTATTCTCTCCGTAAGGGTAGGAGTATTACAGATCTGCAATACAGTCGCCCTTTCCCTTTTGCATGGCGGTTTGTTCGCAGCTGTATACATTGTCTATGTGTGTTGCGGGTGTACGTTCATGTATATTCGCCTTCTCCTTAGAAGGAAGCCGCCAGCGGGAGAATGGAAACATTTTGTTGCCGGAGGGCGAGGGTTAGGAGAGCGAGGGGGCAAAGCGCGGTTGCAAGAGGGTGCCTCTGATAGTGATGGTGATGGTAGTAGTGGTAGTGGTGGTGGTGGTGGCGATAGTGGTGGTGGTGGTGGTTGTCGAGCGGAGGGTGGCGGTCTGGAATCAGACGGATCCGCAGGTGGTTCTCAATCCACCGTCGGTCTCGCATACGTCGGTCACGTCTCGAATCGCGAAGATCCAAGGATGCGAAAACGTTGGCTGCATCTTGGCATGAACTGCATTTGCGTTTTCATCTCACTTCTCGCTTTTCGAACAGGTTGGAAGAAAGGGACGTAGGGAATGTAAAAGATGGTCGTGTAAGTTTGTGCGATCCACGATATCGCCTTGCGTTGTAAACGGTACATAACTTATAATTCTTGATGAATTTCCCAGTTTTCCTAGTTTGCCTAAATTTTCAATCACACCACTTAATTATATTTGTTGATTTTTTTTATTTAATTGGATTTATTAGATTAAATTATTTTTCAAGGAGACTCGCAAATTACTTTGTAATCAGCTTGCAACTTAACTGTACTATGCGCGAGCATAATTATTTTCGAGAGTTCGAGTGAAATATGTATTGTATCGTGAAAAATGTTTCCTCGCAAAAACTTTCCCGTGAACGAAATATACGGTTTGGATTAATATTTGATGGCTCATCTTATTTTATGTGCATTTATTTTTCTGAAAAGAAAAACAAAGAATTCTTCCGAGTTTTGCAACAAGGAGTATAATACAAGTTCAAAATTAAATTACTTCGCATGAGTTCTTTTTTATCCTAATGTTGCGAATAATTAAATTATTTTTTTTCTATAAAATAATTTTTTTTTAAGCGCAGGAAGATTATCTTTATTCGATTTTTATTCGCATATACTCGTTGACAAGTTTATGAGACACATTAACGTATAGCGAGGAAATGACTGACGTCATTGGGTGTGCAAGAAATTTTATCACACTCGGAAATTTGCCTATAAGACGATTTAATGTTCAATAAATGCTCCAATACGGGAAAAAACTTATCTCATCGTCTTTTCATTCAATTTTATAGCGACTTTTAACTACGTCATGTTTTTCATTATGAGATCTCTTTTTATCTCTCTTTTTTTAATCATGTGTACCGCAAATAAAATTGTATTTCTATTATTTATCTTAAAGGGTGCAACAGCTGTTGCCCAAAATCTTCTCAACTCGAGATTAGACTTCACTTTTGGCTCAAAATAAAGTTTATAAAGTATAGATTATGAATATGGAAGTTTCAAGATAGGATAAATCGTTAAATATTTTCACTTTTATAAAAATTTTAATTTTTATCTTTGTAAAAAATGCTTATTTTACCAGCCATTTTCTCTTCTGGAATGATAATCTCGGGCTTCATGTGGAAACTTCATTTTAAGCAAAACTGAAGTGCATTCTCGAGTTGGGATAATTTTGAACAATAAGCTCACGAACGCCTATTTACTTACACTCTTTAGGATTTAGTAATATCATTTATACGAAATGAATAACAGTTCCCCTCTCTCGCTACCGAAGTGGAATCCAGCTGTGAATAGGACTCGACCTTAAGCAATCTCCAAATCGACACTTAATCTCGCAAAATTGTGCTCGGGTAGATCGCGAGACGCGTGACGTCTGTGATGTCAGTTAATCGGAAGGCCTTTCAGGCGTTTGACGGACACTGTCGGGAGGCCAGGAGTCGGTTCCGTCGGTCGGTCGGATTAGCCAAGTCACGGACTGGAATTTCCTCGATCCTGAGGAGGAGTATCGACCCGACCGGTGCGGTCTAACCCCTTCTCCCTCCTCCACCCTTAGCCACCACCGGGAATAACCGGCCGCGTAGGCAGCGGCGCGTGGGTTTGCCGCTCCACGTGCATTATTCGCCTTCACCGACCTTGCATCGGCGAGAGTCCGGGAAAATCCTTCGCTCCCAGATGACCCCGATTTTCCCGCCGACGAATTATCCCACTGGACCCCTCATCATCGGCCAAATGCGATCGCGATTTATTTCGCCGCAATTTGTTCCATTGCTTCACCTTTTGCTGCGTAACCTTATTACGATATATTGATTTCATCCCGCTCTCGTTATATATTTAACGCTTTATACGGGTAGGAGATTTGGCACAATGTGGACGGCTGACCTTTAGTGTACAAACTCCGACACGAAACTCAATTTGAGTTCGTTTAGGATTTTGATCAAGATTATTTTATCATCTTTCTCTCTCTTTCTCTTTTTGCCCTCTATTCTTTATGGTCATAGATTTCCTTGATGGAGTAGCTTAGAGACTAGGTGAAAATTGTCGTAGTATAATTTTGGGTGTAGACACAGAGACACACATACGCACACAAAAATCGATACATGTATATCGGGTTGAACGATTGCCAGAGGTAGAGACGGGGAGGCGTGGTTCTAGAAATACATAGGTCCATTAGTATAGTAATTTTGACGAAAATTCCTTCTTGTAGAACGCTGATTAGTTTGCAACTGCGTGCTGCGATCGTGAGTGTTTAGTATCGATCTGTTAGCTTTGTTCGACGGGAAAAGAGCGAAACTGGCGAAAAGCGGAGAGAGGAGAACGTTTTGGTGTAAGCTGATGAGGATACAAACGACAATCGCTGTTGTAGAGTATCGCTTGTAGCTGAGAGAACTATGTTTTACTTTGATCTGCGAGTCTTCTTGGTAATTTAGTATTGGTGAAACACACGTACACATACACACACCCTATGTAGTGCAGCGAAATGATATAGAGAAACAATATATCGCTTGCATTGGAGCTATTGTTTTCGCGTGATACTGTTATAAATACGCGCATACCGTATATTGAGTAGTTGATTAGTAGATCGATGTGTGTTTATTCACTCAGCCACCACTTTATTAGCATCTCTCTTTCTCTCTCTCTTTCTATTTCTCTCTCTTTCTCATTATATACATATCTACATGTATGTATAGAGCCACACTCTTTTCGACGAGCGCGTATCGCGATTATCGACTCGATGATTTTGACATTGACAAGAGGTCTCTTGATGATGGGAGACGCGATTGCTCGGTTTCCTTCAACGCGCGGTGATGTTTCTTTTCGGCGAAAAGAGGAGGAGACGCGAGAGACTTTAGAAGACACCAACCACGAGGCACACCACCTGGAAAAGTGGCTGAGAATCCTTGTTGTCTCTTTTTTTCAAGGCTGCAGGTACGATTCCCGATCGTCGCCGGGCCTGCTGGTGGTAAAGTCGCGCCGGTGGACCACCAGGTGCGGCAACGGGCGACGGATCATCGGTGACCATCGGGACGCGGTGCATTAACTCTCGTGAGTTTCCCTCCTAATCAATTGTGTGCCAAGAGACCCCTCCCCGGACTCTTGATGTTCCAGGTAAAGAGAGAAAGGCAAGACGGAAGGGAGGGTCATAGGGATGCATAAGGCATTTCCCCTGTGATACTAAAAAAAAGAAGGGGGGAATCGTCGTCTCGTTCCTTCTCCTCGAATACAAACGAATCAGATGCAAACGAATTCGCTGAAATTGCACTCTGATTATCATACGCGCGCGTAATCCTTTGGTCCTTGCGGACGCAGACAGGCACGTCGAGGACGTTTGATTTTATGCCTATTTTTCTCTCTAATTGCGAGTTAAAAATATTGTCGTTAGATATAATCAATAATTCAAATAATTCAATGATTAGTTAATTTTAATGAAATTTTTATTTATACGCGCGGTTGGAGAAATTGTTCAGATCGCTATCTGTGAAATAGAGTAAAATTCATGCTGAAATGTATATTTTAAAGTGCGCGAAGCATTATCTCCTAATCGCGTTTTCGCTTGAATTATTCACCGACGACACGAGTTTTTCCAGCGCGAAACGTTAATTATAGTTGAATGAGGTGCAGGGTGTCTCTCGATTAGCGAATAGATTTGATCAGTGCAATTTTTCAACAATAGTCAGCTGGATTTCAATTATTCTTATCGCCATATCGATCGCTCTCACACTTGTCTCTGTCCACTCTTTGTCTTTCTTCATTGCCTTTCTCTCTTCATCTGCTTTCTTGTTCGTCGCAGTTATATCTTTGGCTCTCACACAAATTCGCGTGTGTACGTGCACTAAATTTCACTCCCCCCTCCTCTCTCCGTCTCTTCTTTTTCTCCTCCTCTCCTTTTTCTTCACTTTTTGTCTCTTTGTTACGATCCTTGAAGTAGGGTAATGCTTTGATAAACTAAAAGAAATTACGAGTACTTGGATATACGGGGTGTTCCAGATCTATCGAGATAATTGGTAATTTTTGTCCGCGGACGAAGATTCCTTGGCGAGCATTTCTACGAAAGTTTATCGTTTATCACGAATTATTTCAATAACTAAATTTTAACTCTGTATTAAAATACAAAATTCCAATTAAAAATAATCGAGAGTTTTGCCATCCATTTCGAAAGGCTCGGGGGATTCAAATCAATTTCAATCGCTGATCGCGTAAAAACTCCCGACTCCGATCCGTTCGACTTTCAATTAATCGAGAAATCCGTAAATATATATTAGATTAATCGAGCTCGATAGGTCCGGGACACCATGTACATAAAATAACGATGAGAATCATCTTGAAGTGACCTAGATTATGGACCGTTAGATCTCCTCTGGTCGAAGAGCGCATATGTGTAGTACATTGTGTGCCGTATATGTTGGACATGCTAGCGCAAACATTTATGCACACACACACACACACACACACACACACACCACACACACACACACACACACATACATACATATGCGCGCGCGAGTACGTTTAATTGGCTCCTCGATAACGAGTTTGTCCATCTACAATATCCATGAACGAGGAAACTGTACGCGACGCGTTCCCGACTTTTGCAAACGTTATTTCTGAATTAACGCACGAAGGAGCTAATTCTCCCTAAGCGACTTTCAAAGCGGATTAGTTGGTACCGTCTGTTCTTCACCAAAGACGGAATATAATAGGGCGCGCGTGCCTCTCTTTGGTCGATTATTAATTCGCATTATTATTTCGCAAGGGTCCATGAAATTTTCTAGCAGTGAAGTGATTGGTGATTTTTAGAAATTTTTTTTAAGAATATTGGAAATTGATCTTTTCAGAATTTACATATGTTTTTTTGGTCTTTAATAGCACGTCAATATTTTTATAAATGTTGGATATTTAGTTCCTTTTCTGAAATTCTAGCAGTGAAAAACTGATGATTTTTGGAATTCCTTTTTAAGAATATTGGAAATTGATCTTATTGGAATTTTTATATATGCTTTTTTGATTTTTGAATAGCACGTTAATATTTTAAAATCTTGGATATATTTAGTTTCTCTTTTGATCAATACAAGTGTTTGTGTATAGCGTGTTTAAAAATGTCTAGTTCGATAGTGTGAAACATATTAATTTATTATCGGGAAAGAAAGAACTCGGTTTTAGTAGAATATTCTTGGAAATTTAATTTTATTATAAAAAATTAAAAGATAACAAAGCAGTATCATTTTAAAATTGAATTTTAATTTTCTCAATTTTGCTGAAATTTTCTCTTTTTCAAAATCAAAAATATATTAAATATTAAATATTTAAATTCTAATTAGATTTGGTACAAAAATATTCTACTGAGCATAACTGGGACAAGTTTTTTACATCCCAAACAATTAGACGAGGAGCACAGCATGTATGTAACACCATTATTTTTAAACACAGGGCTCATATTAAACAAAAAAAAGCTAAATATTCAAAATTTTTTAAAAATAGTGACGTACTTAAACATTAGTAAAAACATTAAAAATGTAAAAAAACTAAAAACACCAGTAGACCGCCAAAAAAATTAATTTTTATTATTTAAAAAAAAAATCCTAAAAATCATCAATTGCTAAAATAAATTGGACCCTTAACGCGCGTCATTTATCAACTATCTCTGTTCATTTTTATCTTTAATCAGTGGAATCATGTTTGAGAGAAAGTAAGATTGTAATACCATATTTGCGCGTGGATTAATTTTCGCCTTTTCTCTCTCTAATCTTCCGTTTATCGCTATATAACTCTGTATATCCTTTGAGAATCGATTCCTTCGTGCTGAGTAATTAGATCGTAACGATAAGCTTTGTTGCTCTTGCTTTAAAGGCCACGATCGCGAGCCGGCGAGGAGAGAAACCAAGAAAAATACGCGGCGGGAAAAATTGCCGAGATCGTAGAAAGTCGCACGATTTCCGCGCTCGACCTGCTTCGATCCGCGCGATTTAAACCGCAGATAATCAGTTTCCCGTGTTTCAAACAGAAAATTGAGACTATTATAATTTTTCTCTCGACGTGAGAATAATTTTCACGATAGCTTAACTATGCACGGTGTTTTGTTCGCATTGTTATTTATAATAGGGTATTTAATAGGGTATTTACTCTTGCTGTAATAACATGGAATTCTCAGGGATTTATTTTGCGTCCGGAAAAATCAAGAAACTCTCCGGAATTTTATTGGGACTCTCATGAAATTAAAACAAAGTTTGCTCTCATATTGTAAGCAATAAACTAAGTTGTTTTGATTATGCAAATATACTTTTCAAACATATTTGTCTCGCTATTTACATATATAATGTCTTAATCAAATATTGAACATGCAATACATATTTTTTATCGTAATTTTTATGATAAAAATATTAAAATGTTTATTTTACGTAAACTATTCATTATACATTTTCAAAAATATCTACTACGTGAAATTTAAATGACTCTTTTCATTTTTCCTTTGTATAAGTGAAAAGTATTAAGAAAATGCGTATAATAAAAGAATTCATTTTAGAAAATTGCGTCCAAAAAAATCTCTAAAAAATTCTCTTGATCTGAAAATTTGAATAAAAATATCAGGAAAATCAGGGAATTTTCAGAGATCTTTTTTACAAGATTTGAGTGGATATCTCCCCTCCCCCTCCTTATTAATAACATTTTTCATTTAGTTCGAAATTCTAACATCATTTATCGCGTAGAATTGTTCTAATTTTCTAATATCATGTTTTATTATTACGATTAATTTATTATTACGATTAATTTGCTAAATAGAATTCTTTAGAAAAATTCTTAAAGTAAGTTGTATAATATAATAAATGTTCAGCAAGATTTTCCCATCGCTATAATTATCTCTTTGATCGCTCCAACTCTTTCTCTAAGCAGCTTTTTATAAACGTTTATATTTATAATGCAAGTAACACACGGAGATACAAGGTGTTCGCATTTAAACAATACCTTACACAATACATAAACCAAAGCGATATATCATATAGATAGATGTTCGAGATAACTCTTCTAAATAAATCTACGAACTGTGTTTCATAACATATTTATTGTATTGTGAAAAAAAAATTATAAAAACTTGACTAGATGTTTTCAACTAATTATTTTTTTAATTGAAATATTTAAGTATATTTAATTTAATTAAATACGACATATTAAATCTAACATGACATCTATTCACCTTAAATATTTAAATATTTCAATTAAAAAAAATAATTCGTTAAAAATATTTAGTCAAGTTTATAAAGTTTTTTTTCTCAGTGAACGCGTGCGACTCATTCCTTTGGAAAATAAAGGTCTTAGTAAATCAAGAAAAGTTCTTGCGGAATAATTGACTGCTGACTTGTATGGTACCCGATATAAAGTGATTTTCTATTTGGATTGAATACAGGAGAGAGCGAACGCAAAGCCCGTTGTAAGAAAAAGAGAGAGAACGAGAGACGCTCGAAGGTGTTTGTGCGCGACTCATTTCCTTCTACTACCTATAAGAGGGTTGACACAAGGCTCCTTCCCTTCCCATTCTTCCCTCTCGCGACTTCCACACTTCGTTTCATCGTGTCTACAAAAGAAAGAGGGAAGGAAAAGACCAAGTTGGAGCCTCCTCGACACGCACGAAATAGCCCGAGCAAATTCGAGATCTCGAGTGAAGAAGAGAGGCAGTCGTAGATCGGCATGATAAGGCGCGAAAACGATCGGCGAGAGATTCACGATTGAGCAGACACCTCCTCCCCGATCTTCATGAGAAAAAAAGTGCGATTTTTTTGCGCCCACCAAGACTAGATGTATGGTAAAAAGACGAGATGAAGAGGACGATGATGCCGTTACACGAGTACTCGAATTATACCTGCCGATTGGCCGAGAGAGCGTCATCGGGTAGGTCAGTAAAGGCATCAACGAGCGAACGACCGATAGCTGTAACAGTTGTTGATCGCCTCTTTCTTTGTGTCTCGCAGATCTCTCTGGATCTTATGTAACGGTAGCTCCATCGATCTCCATAAAGCAATTATAATGGTACACATGCACACAGTATCGCAATA